GATCTGTTTGGGAGGCAGCTGTGTGTTGGTGCCGGGTCCTGAGCTCGTTGCATGAGTTGGTTGTTTGAATCCTGGGACTTATGCAGGGACGCTTGGCTCGGTCTGGGAGGGGGGGTGACTGGACCTGCCTGGACTGAGTCTACCAGGTCGACCCCGGTCCTCGGGGGAGACCTTGATCTGGAGGAGGTGGGAATGGGGGGGGGATTGGGGGGAGGGGGAGGGGGGCGAGAGGGGGAGGACGGGGGAATCTGTGGCTATTATGTTGAACTGAGTGGTGTTGTAAAATAAATTAAAAAAAAAAAGTACTGTCCATTTCTGGAGTCTTAGAGTATCTCAGGCATGCTTCACTCAATGTTCTCTGCTCCTGCCTCCTCTAGACTGTTGATTCACTCGGTCTTCCAAAATCACGTTGACTTCTATTGTATGTTGCTATTTTATCTGTAATCTTTTCTCTCACACACCTTTCTTTTATTCTTCTTTCCTCCCTCACTTCCTCCTCCTCTTCCTTCTCTTCTTTGTCACTTGAGACAGAGATAATAGAAGTTGATGTAAGAATTCCAACCTGTGTCTCTTATGTGGTGTTAACCACAATTCTAAGATAATTGACAATTTTCCCATGTTATAGATAGGGAAAGTGAGATTCAAAGTTGCAAAAAGACTTTCCTAAGATCACATGGTCATTAAGTGGCAGAACCAAGATTTGTGGCCACTCAGTCTCCAAAGACAGTGAGGGAGATTAGCCTTACATAACACTGTGCTAATTTGAAAGGTGTGAAGCCATTCAAACTAATTTAATTGCTCCTATTTATTATTGGCTCCCTCATGCAACTGCACCTGGATTACCAAATCTCTGTGGTCCATGAGCATATAATTTGATGAAGCTTGACCTCTCCTGTTCTGCATTCCTGGGACATAAAACTTCTCCAACACACTCCACAAGGCCCTTCATTCTTCCTGCTGAGTTCCTTTATCTGGTACTTCACCTTGGGTGGCTTCACATGCTTCTTATTAGGGAAAGATATTTTTCTGTGCAGCAAACAGAAGTGACTTGCAGAGTATGCACTGGTCAGGGAGAGAGACTCCAGAAATAAGACAATAGTAGGAACCTATTGGGCTAATCAGAAAGAATCTGCTTGAGTTTGGCTTTCACTGAAGAGATGTTGTTTATGCTAACACCAGCGGAGTGCAGCTGTTCCTTCTTTCAATGGGTATTTAATGAGCATTCATCATATACCAACAAGGACAAAGAAAAATACACACTGATGAGGGGATTCCCAAGTGCCCTGCTCTGGTTCAGATACTTGATATACATTAACTCATTTTATTCACCCAGACCCATGAAGCAGATTATCTTTGCCCAGTTTTACAGAGAATAAAAAGAAGGCACAATAAGATAAAACTGGTAGATAGAAGAAGGGACAGTGGGACACCACTGTCATGCACTGAACTATATATAAAGCAGACTTTGCAGGGGGAAAACTCACATGCAGGACCCAGCACCTAATCTTCCCAGCACTGGTACCCCACAGACATGGTTAGACTGAGCCCAAGGGAAAGAGGAGCACACACCCACCACATAGGTTCTAAAAACACAAAGGATGGAGTATCAAGATACTCTATATTGCTCTTTTTTTGTTCAGTTCAGCAGAGGGGGGGGGTGGAAGAAGAAAGACAGTGTTTTGGCAAAAGGTAACCATGCCTCTGGAAATTAAAAGGGGTATTGGAGGTCAAAATTGGATAACCCACAAATATGTGCACATGGGCTGTGAAATTGGAGGAGACTAAGTGATATTGGATAAAGGAACCTTGCAATTCATGCTGCCCAGTGATAACTAGTGCATATATAGCCAGTGGAGAAGCCTGGATGAGGGGCAGTGGATTAGTGTCGTGGGGAGAGGGAGAGTACAGAAGGGGGTGCCTGGGTGGAATGTAAGCACTATATTTTGCAAGGCTGGCTCCAGTATCTCAACAGGCGTGGTTTTCAAGACCCTGAAGATCTGACTCCTATTTTAGAAACTCCTATAATGGCTACTAGAAGGTTGGCAATGAAAGGGCAATAAGGGAAGCAGACCAACTAGGATGCAAACAAAATGTCTGTGACGTGAAGTAACAGGCCAGGAGCAGAGAAGGGAAGATGTACTCAGATTAGCCACATGTTTTAGAGAGAGGGTTGACAGGAGTTGCCAACAGGCAGAATAAGGAGTTTGAAGGAACAGAAGCAAAAGAACTGATGTCTAGGTTTCTGTTTGGGCTAGCTGAGGATGTGAGGAGCCATTTGATTGAGTGAGTCCCAGCTGGCTGAATGGCAGTGGAAGGGAAGCAGACCCAGGACTTCAACTCATGCAGATCCACCGCACAGCTGGGACCGAGGAAAGCTGGTGCGGAAGCTTTCCACTCCACATTCAGTGCACAGTGAGACCCCTAAACCAAAGCCTCTGTGAACTCTAATGGGCTAGAAAGCAGTGAGGTTTCAAGGAACAGATACTCCAGGCTCCTCCGGTCACAGAGCAATCACCCGCCCTGCAGTAGGACCATTTTCTTCATTTTTTAATGTCGTTTCCAGAGTACCTTATATTTCAGTTCAGAGATGCCATTTTATCAGGCCAGATTCTTTTCAGTTCAACCCAATTTTAACCCCAATGTTCAAGTTATTTTTTTCCCATTATTCCCATAAATGGAAGCAAATCGTGCCATCGTATATAAATGCAGCTGTTTTTCCTCTCTTCTCTTTTCTCATTTGAGATGAAACTCTTCTCTCTTGTCTTTTCTATTAACAGCACCTCTCCCCACCCCCATCCCTGCAGAAAACCTCACCATCAGCTGTCTGTGTTCCTGCTCTCCCACGATCCTTCCTGCCTCTTCAGGGAGCCCCTGCAGCGACGTTGCCTTATATAATCAAAGTATAGGTCAAATTCATCAAAGGGATGGCACACAGGTACATTTCTTACACACATTTAAACTAATGAAATAAGTAATACATTCCTGTTTATGTGGAGCATTGGTAAATAACGTGGTTCTTTGGGGGATGGAGATGAAGTAAGAAATGTAGCTGATATGATACCTAAGTTCCCCCTTAAACTATATTGTACAAAATAGATCTGCACCCCACCACTTGTGATGGCCATGTATAGGCATATTATATCATAAAAATATTTTTATTTATTGACTTTATACATTACATTAGACATTAGTTTTTTAATTAGCCTTTACAATGTGAGTTGTAAATGTTTTTTTTTCCTCTGTGTGTTCTGTGCTTGCCTAGAACCCATGAAGTTCTAGATGACCACAATAAAAAAAATATTGTACATTCTGGAGTTGCTTAGCAACTTCCTTTGTGCTTTGTCTCTACAAAGGCCACAGAGTTAGGTAAACCATCACTGACACTGCCAAATTCTGAGTAAACACTGATGGGCACTTAAGATTTTGCCAGGAAAGCCCCTATATGTCTACACATCGTGTAGTACAAATAAATGCCATCCAATTATGTGTTAGGTTTATGTTCATCAAAAATAAAAAAAAAATTGCCTTGAGAAATTACTTGCTTTCGAGGGTACAGTTTATAGGTTTTCCTAAGGTCGACACGTGTTCTCTGATAGTTCATTATATTTTTCTTTTAAAACACCAAGAAAAGACACTAATGTTTTTGATCATTATTTCATAAAGTTTGCCTGTGATGTTTGCCATAATGGTTAGACCATGTGTCTTCCATTTCAGGATCCAACATTAAAGAAGTTAATGAAGTTTGTGAGGGGCATTTGAAAAATGAAATGTCTGGCAACTCCATGGTGTTTACTGAGAATGGCAGATGATTTGGATAAATCCAATACTTGTAATTTAAAATCCATCCTGTCTTAAGCTTGTAGTGCATCATTCTAAAAATCTGTTTATGAGGAACACCCCTGAGTGCTTTGAAGTTGCAGGAGGCTGTGACTAGAAACTTTCCTACTGCACTGCAGGCCACATGGTGAGTATGCAATAAATGCTTGTTGATTGGCTGGGACCCTTTGCAATACTGACTCATATACTTTGCAATACATAGATAACAGTTTCTAAGAAGAGAAAAGTTTCTCTGAGAGTAAAGAAAATAGCTAATTCTTGACCTAAGGTATTAGATGAGACTGGCCCTTATAGAATCTTAGCTTCTTCCCTTCATTCATTGGCACAATGGACAACTCATCATTTGCCACAAGGAACTCATGAGCTCTTCCAGTGACTTCTCTTTTGAATATGGTCCTTGAGCCTTCCATCCCAACTGCTTTCCAACAGCTCAAGGACAGCAGAATGAGCTGCCTGCACACCGTATTCAGCCCTTCTCCTGGATCTTAAGCCTTCCCACCTGGCCTAAGCCAGAAAGGCTTATGTCAGATTAACAAGCAGCAAAGACCATTACACCACCCTACCTCTCATATTTCTAAAGTTTGTGTGATTGAGACATTAAGCTTTATCACATCCAAGTACTCATGAGTAGAGGATAATTTTTAAAGAGGTTAAAAAAAATCCACTTTTGGCAGAGAGACGGTTCAGCAGTTAAGAGCTCTGGTTGCTCTTCCAGGGCAATTCATTAGATTCCCAGCACCTTCATGGTGGCTCCCAACTGTCTGTAACTCCAGTCCCAGGGAATCGCATGCCATCTTTTGGCCTCCACAGGTGCTGCATGTAGATGGTGGGCAGACATACATGCAGGCAAAACACTCATACACATAAAATAAAGGTTAAAATGTTTTTAAGTAGTCACTTTGTGTAATGTGCATACTGAAGCAGGCATCCTTCAGGTTGTGAGCTCTAGCAGTGAATAAGACGCTGATGGGGAGATGGGAAATAAATAGGTTGAAAAAACAGAGCCAATCAGGGAGGCAAGATGACTTAGTCAAATGATGTAGAAAGGCCTCTTTGTGGAGGTAGCTTTTAAGCTAGGTGTTTTATAGAGAGAAGATGAACACTCATTAAGAAACATGGGGTGCAACAGCCAATCATGGAGAAGTGGGTGTAGGTTAGAGGTCGTACAGAAGTTCTCTCAGCTTCCGGCCGCCAGCTTGGAAAAGAGTAATGGCTAAACATCATCCAGATTTGATTTTCTGCCGCAAGCAGGCTGGTGTAGCTATCGGAAGACTGTGTGAAAAATGTGATGGCAAATGTGTGATCTGTGATTCCTATGTGCGACCATGCACCCTGGTTCGTATATGTGATGAGTGTAACTATGGGTCTTACCAGGGCCGGTGTGTGATTTGTGGAGGTCCCGGAGTCTTGGATGCCTACTATTGTAAAGAGTGCACCATTCAGGAGAAGGATAGAGATGGTTGCCCAAAGATTGTCAATTTGGGGAGCTTTAAAACAGACCTGTTCTATGAACGAAAAAAATACGGCTTCAAGAAGAGGTGATGGGTGGGCGGCTCCTTCCTCCCACATCAAGCTGTTGCAGCTGCCAGAAAAGACACCCACTACCACCAGCAGAGAGACCGGAGCCCAGCGTGTCACCAGAACAGCCCACTAGAGCTAGTGTCCTGACCCCTGACCCCTGCCTTTCCTCACCATGCTGGTGGGGATGAAAGGGGGGTCTTGACAGAGCGCTCTAGCAGACTGAAGACAAATTGCTAGGTTAGTTCATAGTTTGTTTTGTTCTAGTTGGAGAAGCAAGGCTCTGCTCTCTACTTTGCTAGATTCTCTCCACACCAAAAGCTTCAAAACAAGTCTTCTGTCTGCGGCCTTGACAATGAAGCCACTGCAGGCAAAGCATGGCCTTGCAGCAGCTGTGATGGTGGTGGTCTTCTGTGACCCTCAGTGGGCCAGGAGCCATCAGAACAGTAATGTGATATAACACTTCCCGGGTGGTGCTTGTTTCATGTTTTTTTCCTACTTAGAAATTGGAAGTTTCTGTTGTTCTAATAAAGTTGGTGTGTATTTTCTGGTAAAAAAAAAAAAAAAAAAGAAAGAAAGAAAGAAAGAAACATGGGGTGCAATAGTTCAGAAGAAACGACTATGAGGGCAAACCCTTAACACGAATGGACTTAATGAAAGGGTCAAAGAGCGAAGGAGAGAGTTTCTAATGTATTGTATCTTACCACCCCCGAGCCATCCTCAATATCCCCTTGTGCAGATGAGAAAGCTGGGCAAAGCCCACCTGCCTTCAACAGTATGATTAAAAACGGCCTCCAGAAACACAAATTAGTCAGTGATTCTTAAACTATAGCAACTTTTACATGTTCCCATGTGTCCAACGTGAAACTTCCATAGATGTTTAAAATCTGTGGAATGGTTAATCAAATGACTTATCTATAGAGTTAAAGGTTGCTGGAGAAAAAAAAAACTAAAATACACATTAATGCTTTTTCTTTAGAGAAATACCCAGGACATCAGAGATCTTAATATTACTAAATGTGACTAAAATCTAAAGATATTTTTTTAATTTCCATTAAAAAATCTTAAAAGACCAGTACAAAAAAGAATGATGGATAATATATGATGGCTGTAGAATGAATGGTTGATTGAACTTTATCAAAACCAGGTTGGATTTCAAGAGAGGCTTATATTTATATAAATATGTAGAAGGCTATTGCAATGCCCAGCACAATCAGGACGGCCAGCTGGTGTGGTTCATTAATAGGAAATGTAGTCTCACTGGCAGCTGAAGAGAAGCCAGGTGTGGCATAACTTTGCTGTTCCCAGTAGGTGGGTGCAGCACAAATCTTAAAAAGTTCTTATTAATAAAAACAAACCCGGAGCCAGGTATTGGGGTGAACACTGAAAGATCAGAGAAACAGAACAAGCCACAGCTAACCTCACCTCGCCAACTTCTCAGCTGATCTTGTTCCCTCAAACTGGAAGCCTCTGAGTCCTCGTCCGAATGGATCACAGCTGAACTGTTGCTAAAAGCCTCAAAGCTTCGAAACCTCTAGTCCTCAGGTCTTATATACCTTTCTGCTTCCTGCCATCACTTCCTGGGATTAAAGGTGTGTGTATTTCCCAAGCAAGACATGATCTCAAGTGCTGGGATTAAAGGTGTGTGCCACCATGCCTGGCTCTATTTCCAGTGTGGCCTTGAACTCACAGAGATCCACACAGATCTCTGCCTCCCAAGTGATAGGATTAAAAGTGTGTGTGTCAGCATTTTCTGGCCTCTATGTCTATCAGTGGTTGTTCTGTTCTCTGACCCCAGATAAGTTTATTAGGGTGCACAATATATTGAGGAACACAATATCACCACAGGTGGGTTTTTTATCCACATATCCTCAAGACTCATGCACACCAATCAGTGACTAATCAAGTCATCTCTCAGAGCCCCGGGCTCACACTGTCTGAATCAACAGTGGTCAAAGCAAAGTCCTACCGTCCATAGGGTGTGAGATGACTCTTGGGGTCACCCAGAGCTTTTAGAGCATTTTGAAGAAGACACATTTTGATATATATTTATATTATAATCCCTCATGAAATATCTTGAATGTGTTGTTCTATTAGAAGGCATTCTCTCCTCTCCTTGCAGGTGAGAAATAAAAGGAAGGAATGCTCGGATGGAAATGATAAGCAAACCACACCCTGCCCTATGTTCATCCCCCCCTCTGAGTGGCAATGGGAAGCTGTAACCTTAGGCCTTTATTCTTCAGCTCTATCCATTGCTTCAGCTTTGGTTTCTTTCCAGAATTTTCTTTAAGCTTGTATGTATAATGGAGGTCTATTCATACTTAGGATTCAGCTGCCATGGATCAGCTCATCACCTGGATTTGGGAGAAAGATTGAGACTATGCCAGAATCCAAGACTGTTAACCTCAGCCAATTCTCTGAAATCAGTACACCTCTCCCACTCTGGTATGGAACCAGCGTTTTTCTCCACCTAGGACAAGTTAAACAGAAAAGCAAAAGGAGATACAAGCCATAACCAGAGAGTATGAACTGTGGAGTCTCTGTTTTAAGTCACATTCTATACTTTGGGAATAAAGCTTCTTATATTTTAGAGGCTGAATTATTCCAGCTCTACCCTTGAAGTTTCAATGGTGGCCTTGGGCTCTAAAACCCTGACCTTGAAAGGAAACATTTACTTAGTAAATGTGCTGCCAGCATGAAGACTGTTCCATGGCAGAGCAGCCAACAAAGCCCAGTTCAAAAGCAGCCTTTCCCTTTCTTCCGAGAGGCCTAATCCACGGGCTTTCACAGTGACAAAAACAGACTCTTAACGGTAATTGTGTGTGGGTCCCTGCATAAAATCTCAAGTTCACATGAGCAATCCTGTTGTGGGGATTTTCCCACTGATCCTCAGGAAACAGCTTCTAGAGACGCTGTGCACACAGCACAGGCCCTTCAGCAAGTGAACTAGAGAGAAAATTCGTCCAAAGTCCTTTCTTCAGCCTGAACACACAGCTTCAGGCTGCCACAGGTACATCCCCGCTCCACAAGCTTCTGATGTGGAGAAAAGAGTCCGCATTCACTTTGCGGGTGTACAGTCTGCCTCTGGCCCGACCCCACTACACTCTTGGGGTTCTAGAGTCAGGCTGGAATGGGGAAGCGCTGACTCCGGTGCCTGCTGGGATGTCAGGCAGAAGAAGGCACTTGGTTCATTCTGAGCAGCAGGCAAAGAGGTGAGAGTGGAAGAAAGAGATAAGAGACATCTTATAATCCACTCTGGGGCATCATTTCAAGTCCTTGCCACTGTCTGATGTGAGAAGGAGCCAGGTCCCAGTGGTTGTTACTGAAGATGGCTAAGGAGCTTACACACTGGTGTCATGGGACTGGGGGGAATTTTCTTGTAAGGACAGATGGGTACATGCTGACCTGCCTCAGTGGGACAATTTGGGAAATGGGTGGAATGGGTGGATGGAGGTGAAACTCTCTCTGGAGTCTGGCATCTTGAGAATTTTCCCTGTGTGCCAGGACTATTGCACATGCATTCATTTTTGTTAACTCACTGGGACTGTATGCCAGCCCCATCATAAAGAAATTGACACTCTTATCCTGCCTTTACAGATGAGTGAGCCACATTACAGAAGACACCTAACTTGCTCTAGCACCTTGGTGCCCATCCCCACTCCCCACCATCTTAAACTGCAGCATTCTGCCTCAGAACACCCTCCTCAGGGTGGTAGATGGCTTTCCTGTGGCCCCTCTATCTGAATTCTCTGCCCTCCTTACCAAGAGCTATTCACTGATTAGCCTCTTTTGCTAGCCATTAGGCATTGGGTAACTGGAACACCCACACCTGCACACACACACACACACACACACACACACACACACACACACACACACACTTCCTTTCTCTACATGGAAATGAAATCCCCAGCTACAAATTTTGTTCATAGTAGGCCTTCAGGTCATTTTATTTTTCAACTATGCCTCCCACCATATCCCCTGTATCCACCATCATTGAGTGTTCAAAGCTGACAGAAGGAATGAGTTGATGACAGCGAACACTCACGTGATCACAGTGCAATTGCAATGGGTAAGATCAAAGCGGAAGGAAGTAATGGTAAAGCAAATATACAGAATGTATTGCTTTTGCTCCTTAGAATTTTGTGTGTAATTCTCGGCAGTCTGAAGACAAAGAGACTATTATTAAGTTAACAGCTGCTACTTGCACAGTGTTATGTGCCAGGCTCCCTCTTAAACTCTTTCCTCACAGTAACAACTTTAATCCTCATGAAAATCCTATGGTAGCGCCTCATTTTATCCCCATTTTAAAGAGGAGGAAACCAGAGCATAAAGCACTTAAGCTTCACTGCCTGAACCAGTAACCCAACTAGTACATACTGTGGGTGAGGAAGGGAGCCTATACCAAGTCATTTGGAGGAGGTTCAGGAAGTATACTAATACAATAGACAGCACAAAAGTAAGATGGAGTTCGAAATGGGAAACAAATCAACAGATATAATCAAAGGCTGCTACTGGGTTTCTAGTTAATGTATCTTGTTAAAAGATGGGAGAAAGAGCTGGAGAGATGTCTCATTAAGAGCTCTTCTCGTATTTCCAGAACCTTAGTACTGTTTCCAGCATCCAAGTGGGGTAGCTTACAACCACCTGTAACTCCTACTCTGGGGAAACTGAAGCTCCCTCTAGTCTCTGCAGGCACACACTCCCATGCACACACACACACACACACACACACACAAAGAGAGAGAGAG